TACCACGTTTAACAATATTCAGCCATATTGCGATATTGGTTTCCAACATACAAGACGGACCATGAAATTATGACTTGAATTTGGAACTGGCTTTCTGGTGGGATGTAACACCCCATAATATCCTGTAGAAAAAGAGCTTAAAGCACGAATGTTAATTCATCAGTATATATGTATTTTGCGCAAAAGGATATTGTAGGATCGACGCTGACATGCGCATATACTAGTAACCTATTTACCATTGCAGTAATATTTAATTTATTTGTATTTTGACACATATCGATAGGAACATGGAGAGTCTGTGTGAAGATATATAGACACGCATGGGATCTTTTGGATAGTTGTACCTCACGGCTAGACTAACGCTCAGTCTCTGAAAATATATTACTTTGATTAAAACGAGAAACTATATTTAAAGTTAAAGGAGCCCCAGTGGGATGGACATTTCAGCCTGAACCTGTTGAATATCTAGGCTTGTTTCATTTGGGGCTATAGCATTGCAGTGAGGCCTGGGCGGAAGAAAAAAGCTGTTTACACCCATCAGATTCAAGTCACTACTTCTCTCTCCAAACGAAAATAAAATACGAAAAATGTCAGAAGTGTTTCATCTTAATCCTTCTAATTTTCTATTTAGATACAAGTTTTAACTTTAAAGTAATTATATGTATCTCATGTTAAAAAAATGTATTATTGGTATCTGTGGTGCTGGTACCGTTTTGTCGCCATTGTGTAGCTTTTGTGGAGTTGCTATGAATATCAAATACATGTCTTGAAATATGGACTTGTAACAGAACCCATCATTGAACCATTTGCAGTCTAACCCATCTAATTGACGTGTATGGACATATTATCCATCTACTTATACATATTTATTATGGACATGTACATAATTTCATTGCAACATATTATTTAAAAAAATACCCGTGAAGATCGGGGTTAGAATAGGCCTTCAACAACCCTTGCTTGTACAAAGGCGACTCACATCATCGGGTGGTCAGGCTCGCTGACTTGGTTGATGCATGTCATCGTATCCGAATTGTGTTGATCGGTGCTCTTGATGATCATAACTGGATTGTCTGGTCCAGACTGGATTATTTACGAACCACCGTCATATAGCTGGTATATTGCTGAGTGCGGCGTTTAACAACAAACACTCAAACAAAAACTATTATTAAACACCTTCCTGAATATTTGATTTTTTTCAATAATGGTTACGTTAGTGAGTTGCCTAGATCTCTCGTTACCTTCTCACACGAACAGATTAAAATAATTTGTTTTTACTATCATATTTCAGTTTATTTAATTCATAATACGAAATTAATAATTCATTTATCACAGTATAGATCATATTCGTTTATATCACTATCTGGTGTTAAGGTTTTATTGCAGAAATTATAATGAATTCAAAATGTAGAAAGATACACAATTTGCCATGATTTGACGTTAATACTGTACAAAATATAATATAATGATGAGAATTCCTGTAACGGACAGTATTTAAGAAAGAAATATTAGTCGATTAGTCAGATAAGCCCTTCAATAGTATTATTGTATATCTACAGAGAGAGGTTTACATTGTAGTTCTCATTATTTGTGGATAATTCAACAAGCAAAAGTAGAAAATATATATTCTATCATAACGAAAGAATACAGAGTATACAATAACTCGCAATTGTTCAAAAGAGATTTCAAATCACAATAACATATCTTATATAAACAGAGGTGCTAATGGTTTAATCTCTACATTGTGCCCATGTTCGTGAGCCCTTGTTCTATTCAGCCAACAGCCCAAACCCGAAACAGCCCATATCCGATTACACTGACCCAGTCCTCCAGTTCTCCATGCGATACTGTCGCTCTTGTACGTCTCCCAGTCCATAGAGAATAAATTTAAAAGGAATCCAACTCAAGTCTAGAACTATTTGTCAAGCCTAGATTGCCTCAATGCTATCAATGAAAGTAAGCGTTAATAAAAAATATTGTTCTTGGCTGCTTTAGATTATATTTTGTAGATACATATTTTTAACTACGAAAATTGTACTGACACCGGTGTCCCGGTATAAACACTCCCCCGTTCAAATTCTCCCCCCGGAGATTTTATACCGGTACAGATTCTCCCCCGGAGAATCTGTTGTGAAATAAAATCTCCCCCGGGCGGATATATTTCGCGCCCCCCTCAGTATTAAGTCTCCCCACTGATTATTCGGTTTCTTGCAATGTCTTTAAGTACTATATTCTTTAAATAGTTATCTTTAATGTAAGGAGGGTTACTTTAAAAATATACTAGCCACATAAAGAAACTGTGCACGGAGAAAATATATTCTGGACTGAAATACAACACAGCAAGAACAAAATGATGCAGATGCTGTAGCAGCTGAATGATCGGACCATAAGAAAATGTCAACGGGACCTGAACAACATCTGTTACGATGACGTCAGAAGATCAAAATGGAGTAGGGGGTCAAACGACAAAGTCACAAAGTCAATAACGGGTATGACCACCCTGTGCGTGAATCACAGCAGTGCATCGGCGACGCATGGAGTCCACCAAATGGGCATGGAAGGCCTGGGGAATGGCCTGCCATATCCTCCTCAAATCCTGTGCCAAGTCACGGACGTTATCTGGAGGATGTGAGAAGCTGACGCAGACAGCGCTCCATTTCATCCCACACATGCTCTATTGGGGAGAGATCTGGAGAATTTGCAGGCCATGGCAGTAACATGACATTGTTATGGTGTAGGAAATCAATTGCGACCCTAGCCGTGTGAGGACGAGCGTTGTCCTGTTGAAATGTCAATCCCGGGCCATGACGTTGCAGGAAAGGAATGACTACAGGCCTCAGAATCTGATCTCTGTAGCCAACACCGGTGGGATTGCCCTGATCAACCACCAAAGGGGTTCGGTGCCGTGCTGTTATCCCACCCCAAATCATCACAGAGCCACCTCCAAAACGATTTCTCTCCACAATACAGTTGCGTGCATAACGTTCTCCCAAACGCCGGTAGACACGTTGGCGCCCGTCACTGTGGGAAATGTTGAACCTCGATTCATCTGTAAAGACAACATTTCTCCACCATATTCGAGGTTGGCGAACATGATTTCGACACCATCTTAGACGTTTGACTCGATCACGGTGTGTCAGGATTGGACGTATGGCAGGGCGTCGTGGTCGAATCCCGTACTGACATAAACGATTCCTGACAGTGTTGGGATGGATACGGCGCAGTCCAGGAATTGTCTGGGACGTCGTTACTGCCGTTTGGAACCTGTGTCGGAGATGTGTAACTCGAATCCATCTGTCCTGTCTTGGCGTCGTTACTCGGGGACGTCCTGAACGTGGTTGGTCGGCAACGTCATTTGTGTTCTGATAACGCCTCACCAATGCCGATATCGTGTTACGATGGCATTGGAAATGTGTTGCAACCTGTTGTTGCCTCATTCCCGTTCGGATCATTCCAATGGCTTCATGACGCTGTGCAGCTGTCAATCTTGGCATGATTTGCTTGTGATATGCTTGTGTCTGCGCCTGAGAAGTTTTTGAATTTTTGAATGACCACAGATCATGCTTTCCAAAGTGACAGCGAATTTTGAGTTGCACATGCTGTGTACAGCTGCACAGGATGCACGTGCAGTAACAAATTGCACGTCCATATGCCCCCATCAATGACGTCATATCGCATGGCACGTGCACGAGCGTTTGAATGTCTCCAATAATTGCTGTGTTTAAACCTATATTTCATATATGGACGGTGTGCCCTTATATCTATATTTTCTCCGTGCACAGTTTCTTTATGTGGCGTATAGATTATGAAATATGGTCATAATGAATTGATATTTCAGCATATGTTATTTGGTAACTGTACCTTCCATCCTAAAATAATTATAAGACATAATCATACCAAACAAATTTGAATTAAAAATAACTTAATGTGACAAATACATGTACGGTTACTGTTGTAACTGAAATTCAGAAATCTTATTAATCCTCGCAAACATTCGGTTTTAACACGTAAAAACTGTCAACATATCCACGCGCGCCTCCAGCTCAGGCTGTCCGTTATACTCTGATTTAAGATCTAAAATATATTCCTTAATACAGGCTACGATTTGAAAATGGTATCGGTGTAGGTGAGGTGAGGTGAGGTGAAATGGGGTTTAACGTCGCGTCCAAGATTATTGCACTTATATGGCGACGTGCACGCACGCGTGTGCGTGTGTGTGGCTGCTTGTACTAGTCCGGACTGATGCCGACTTATATGCTAGTTCACTGACATAACATGCCGCAGTTGAATGAATACCCCACTCAGACACAGTATACTGACTCCGAGGCGACCAGTCCTTGCTGTAAACATACAACATCATAACTATCTAATTCAGCAGTGATTAAATCTACTGTGTCTTTAAGACAGCGTACGTTTAGATGTATACTCTTTAAATCTGGACTATGCAAAGGTCCTGGATTCCGATGGATATCACCGCAGCAAAAGAGAAAAAGTAAAACTAAGAATGATAATCGGAAATTTTATAAGCAAAGTAACCCAAAATATAGAGAAATGTGTATCATCTTCCCGAAATGATTAGCATGTAGAATAAATTCTAAAACACCCACCGCCAGCCTTTATTGAACAACATCAACCGGCATCGTCAAAGCAAAGTGCACATGTAATTGTTAGCATCGGGCTGGCGGTGAATCTTAATGAAAAACACCTTGTTAAAAAGACACACCGAAACTGATTTGCATAACTGATGACCACAACATATTGAAAAATATCAAAACAGTAAAAATGATACAGTATAACCTCATAATCAATCGCCAGCTGTCAATATACAAAACAGAATAATACATCAAGATGACAGTTTTCATGTAAAGCTTAAGTATTTCTAAGCAAATTCAAGATACATATATCTAGATATTGTGCATATCTTTAAGTTGCTTAGAAATACTTAATCTTTACATGGAAACTGCCATCTTGATGTAATATAATGTATTGTTTATTGACAGCTGGTGATAAATTGTTACCAGATGGCTCCAGTTGGTGTAGCAGACGACACACTTTCCAACAAAGGGGAAAAGGGTAAAAATATGAGTAGGCTGGTTATCATCGAGCAGACGGCTCACCAGTCTAAGATGTATTGAAAATACACACACTTCATTCTCAACCTCATCTAATGTTAATTCAACAATTTATCATATACTTAGTAGTGGGATATTCTGTTAATAATCTCTCATAATTCTATTGAATGGTTCTGTACATTCTATCAATGTTTATTTGTACAAACCTGTTTTATGTATGTACAGAAGTGGGACATTAATACATTATTGTCTGTCTGTCTACAATGTATACCTTACAATTTAACCGATTACACACGCATGGCAAGTATTTATATAAACGACCGAAAGGGGGGGTTGGGGGGTATTCTGGGGGGGGGGGGGGGGGGGGGGGGGGATTTTATTTCGTAGGTGGGGGGAGAGTTTATTTCGAGAGGGGCGGAACTGTACCGGTATAAATTCGCCGGGGGGAGATTTTATTCTGGGGGCGAATATATTTCGTGACAGGGTCCCGGCACACAATGACAAGTGAGGATGCCGCGCTACACTATAATGAAAATTATAATCAAGTTGACTAGCGTGTACATTACTACAGTGAACATGTACATGATCATGCCCTCATAATCAAATGTCCTAATATCAAATACTAATACATTATTATGTGATGAATTTGCTTGGATCAGTGGTAACATGTGATATTAATATTCCATCAATTTCTTTCCTGGTTGGTCTATCCATGTCTACAAAATGAAAATAATGCAATTAAAAAGGAGCACAGAACAATTCTTAATTTCAGACTAGAGCTGTGGAAATCTAGACTTTCCAAATCATTATAGACTTGAGTTGGTCTCATTTTTTACATTATTCTCTTGGGTCTACGTCACAGCTCATACCACACAATAACAAGACCAGTTAGTCCCCCGGCGGAGCGCCTGGATTTTGGTTATATCATCTAACATGGTCAACTCTGCTCTTAAGTAAACAAGAACCTAATTAGCGAGTGGTCCTTTATGATCATACTGGGTCTTTGTCCTTTGCTTGAACAATAATGTAACTTAACTTCTTTTATTGAGTCGTTTATTTGTAGATAATTTCGTACACAGATAATTAATCTAACATGGTAATTATAATCATAACTATTTTTCAATAATAATGGTATGCACAGTTCTTTATGTTGTTCTGTAGACGGATTCCCCAGAGGCTATATTGCATCATAAAGAATACTCATGGATGTGTATGCCACTGTACCAAATTAATTATGATCATATTCTATATTATTATCCCATTCAGACCCTACATTTTAACAAGAACACACAGAGATATAGTTCAGAAACACTAGACTGAAATTAATCCAATATGATTCCAAAATTATTAGATATATTTATGGTTAATTTCATTGTGTAATAAGAAAACAATTGTCAAATAAATGGATTTTCATGTGAATAAAATCCAGAGGCCAAATATCGGAACCAATGACAGACCCTATCATTAAACACGATTGTTAAGGATACTGGGCGTTCAATAATTCCGCTAAACCACCATTTCACAATGGGAAAATACGGGACATAATCGGCGATATTTTCTTCATCAAATGAAGATCGTATTATGTATACGATTTCGTGTTAACAGTGAGCTGACACGAAATATTAACGCACGTATCGCTGTCGAAAATTTAGTGTGTGTCATTGTTTACATTTCACTGATTTGAAGAACACTTTCGAGTCTCGAAACAGCTTAAATAATGTTTTCCTCTACTAAAAGTAACAACGGACGTTATTCTCGTGACATATACTTGCAAAAGCATTCATGAAAATGCTAAGAAAAAATATTTAACAACCCGTTCTAGCGTTTTTCTATAGTATATACATGGCGTGTCCGCCATGTTTGTTCGTCTAGTGGAGGCGGCCATTGTGCAGTCATTGCCTCGGTCAGTGTAGCGCCAGCGCCGCATACCAGGGGAACCAGGCTGCTTCAATTACCCAATTGATTTGATTAGAATATACTTGCGTCAGTGTATTTTATTAACGCCCCAAACCGTAATTTAAACACATTTAATAACAGATCATATACATGCATGGTGCCTTCACTTACTACTAGCTTTAATAGGCCATCCCGGATTAAAATAGTTCCCCAAAAGCGAGGAACATCCCTCTTAGTCTGTTTATAAGAAATGTATTCTAAACAATATCCTCAGTAGATGAGAAGATCTGTTAAAGAATTGCCTCAGTAAGTCAATCACAATGACAGAGCGTCGTAATACATTAACATCAAGTACAATACGTCAAAATGGCCGACACGATAAACGTGACGGGAGATATTTCCGAAGTTGTTAATAAACCTGTGGTTATTTCAAGCTTTTGTCATCACTGATCAATTGGCCAATCATTGAAAGGTGATTGTAAAGATGTGTCAAATAGATACTAAGGTAAACACATAGATTGCTGTAGATTGTCACTACGATAGTTTGGATGTTTGGGGTTTTTTCGTTTTTATTTCTCTATGATGGGTTGTAGCGAGGTATCCTTAAGCGGGCTATGCAACCAAACTCTCTGACTTATCCCAGACTAAGCTAAGACGCTAAGTTCAAAATTAAAGGGTCTAAATGACGAGAAACAACGCTTCTGTTTGAATTCGTACATGTACCAGGGAATTCTCAGGGTTTCCCCCAGGAATGTGGAAGTAGTCAGTGTTTATGTCATTTCAGGAATACAGTCACGTGAAAAACGTCATGTGACCGACCTCTCCTCCAATGGAAAAGCCGTATATCTTGTAAACTTCACATAAAAAAATAGTTACTGTTATAACCAAATGAAACAAAACCCATTATCCGATAGAGGTAACTGTGCATAGCGGAGGGATATGTTATCACAATAAACTTGGTAACATGGTTTGATTTGACTTCTTGGCGCGTGTCTGAATTCCTTTAACATGTTACATATCCTAAAACTGGCTTATCAGCTAATCTCGCTGCACTACGCGCGACAGATACTAGAGCAAGGCATGCCAGAAATATGAAACCTTATGCTTACCGAAAGGATGCCTTAGGCATCACGTGCGTCGGGGGACCAGCGCCATCTCATTGGCTGTTAACAGCTGTGCAAGGCGGATCACAAAACATCGTTTTTCCGTCCATTTTACGCTTGAAAAACTCGACCCTTTTCCGGACACTTTCTAGACGCTCGCCAATTAATCAATTTTAATGAATTTTCCGATTATGTTTAAAATATTGCCGAACTTGACGATCTGTAGGGTTTTCCTTTAAGGCCGAGTGAGTGAGTATGGTTTTACGCCGCTTTTAGCAATATTCCAGCAATATCACGGCGGGGGACACCAGAAATGGGTTCACACATTGTACCCATATCGGGAATCGAACCCGGGTCTTCGGCGTGACGAGCGAACGCTTTAACCACTAGGCTACCCGACCGCCCCCTTTGAGGCCGAACACCTGGAGCCGTTATCGTTGAACAAACAGACGTATGACGCGGCTATTGATTGGTAATTGGTGGCTGGCTACACATTGACATAGTATGGGCGAGGAGGTGCGTGGAGTGTGGTTGGATGCTCACATTGACCTCCCTGTTGCGCTGGGGTATTGCTAAAAACTAGAGGGAGGCGCACCATCTGAAGTATTTCGTCACAATGAAGAAGGATCGCCCGCTCGCTCTTGCTGTGACCATTCTTTCCTTGTTCTTAATCATCCTTTATGTGATTTCTGACAATGACAAAATAAAATTTAGTCAGATCCCAACTCCGGATCTGGTTCGTCGGATCCAAGTCCCAGATCTGGCTTGTCCGATCCCTTCCTTGTCCAACAGGACCCTTCCAAAAACAGCTTTGGCCAGTTATCCTGGATCAGGCAACACGTGGATGCGACACCTTCTCCAAGAACTCACAGGTACTTTTAATTCTTTTATGATATGTCAGCAAAAATATAAGTGGTTTATAATTACTTGCTTCTTTTATATTTCATTTCAGCATAACATTATTTGGCATCAGTTATTTTTGTTTTCATTTTTATCGTATATATAGACGATCCTGCTAGTATTTGTTTCTAATGCCTACGGGTCCACTCCTATCTTTCAAGTTGCTACATATGACGCAAAAGGCTGGCATGGATGATGGCTGTGCTCACATGAATCGTATTACATGCCCAATGAGCCGTCGACCTGATATTTCCATCAAATGTTTTGTATATTTAAACCGATTATCACCGAGCATGCTGGCTAAACGGATTCCACTGGGCGTAAAAGGAACAGTAGCGGTGACAATAAAATGAATGAATCACTGAAAATCACACCAGTGTTGCCTAACGCCGCACAGGAGGGATAAAATTAAATTGTATATGAACAATTAAGTAAATATTATGAAGTTTAACAGAAGCAAACGTGTAGTGGATCAATAAGATATTTCCGTTGTCTGTTCGTCAACAGTGGAATTATTTTATTTCCTCAAGATACATATATCTAAAACATAAATAAAATAAAACATTTCTTATTTCAGTTGGCTTTGGTAAAGATTTAAAAAATGTGACAGGAACCATTGAGTCATGTAAAGATACCGTTGAGTTATTTATTATTTATTATGTTTTCTTTAAATCTCTAAATCCTGTGCGCATTTTAATGACTTTAGTGTCGCATAGGTCATATTGGCGGGCATTCTTCATATCTACCCGAACTACGAAGCAATTTTCCTTTTCAAGTTGTACAATGCATGACACTTAAATAAAAATCTCACAATGTTTCAGCTGTCGCCTCTTTGTGGAATAAGGCTTTACAGTTGTAAAATAATCTCTCTTATCCGTCTGTACCCTCAATTTAACTACCCCCACCCCCTGCAGTTTTCCGTCCCACAAGGAGCTGTATGCTTGCTGATGAGCCAGGGGAAGTTTCGCCTGGCCCTCACTCAGTCCAGTTATCCTAAGTCTGTCACACAGACCCTGATACATATTTATCCAATACAGCCCTTGCAAGTCTATAATATTTGACAAGTTTAGATTACTGCAGTATCTGAAGATGAAGAGAGTCTTTGGGCTCCTTTTATTATAGTTTTGTAAAGATAATTTAACAACTGTTTTTTCTTCTGTAAGATATGTTCATTCCAGAGCCAAGCTGTTAGTCTACATTATACTGTAACCACGGACCAATATGTTGTGAAGGAGTAGCCTTGCTGTGGCTCATTTTGTAACAATTTAGCAAACTTTGATATGTAAACAGCAATATAATTCAGTTTTATGTCATCTTAATATATCAATTGAATCCAGCTTGAGCCGTGAGTATCCGGGTTAGAATAGGTCTTCAGCAACCGATAGTTGCCGTTCGAGGCGACTTTGCCTGTCGCAAGAGGCGACTAACGAGATCGGGTGGTCGGGCTCACTGACTTGGTTGATGCATGTCATCGTATCCCAATTGCGTGGATCGATGCTCATGATATCAATCACTGGATTGTCGTGATGAGACTCGATTATTTTCACACCGCCTTCATACAGCTAGAATTTTCCTGAGTGCGGCGTTGAAGAAAAAAAAACATAAACAAAACAAAACGAATCCTACTTATTTTGTTGATACTATAAAAGTTAATCAAAGTTGCGTTGGAGCTAGCATGAATATCATAACATAATTAGCAAGTCTACGCTCATAATTCCTCTATTGGTCCCACATAAAATTGGGGATTGCCTAAAAGTCGGGCCAAGAAAAGTCGGGCCGGGCCGGGCCAGCGGGTAATACTAAAAAAGGATTGCAGAATAATAAAACGAAACGTGCATATCTAGGCAGATCTCAAATGTCAAGAAACGGATAGTTTTGCTCATTTAATTGAGTTTGAATCAAAATGTATCTTCAGCAATGTAATAAACTGATAATTATAGCAACATACCGAGAGTTCATACCGAAAAGTCAGTGTCTTGACTGTGTCTTTACTTTGATGAGAAGGTTTCTCACCGACCTTAGCGTGCAGGGGTGTGATGTCCTGGGAAGGAATTCGAAATGACAGTGTTTTGACTACTCTTCTTTCATTAATTAACGTGTTTGGCATACCTAATTAACCTTTACTAATTCATGTTAAACCAACACAGGATGTTTTCTGCAAGTGGATATTCGCGAATGTCATAGGACTGACACGACACGTGTTAATAACTGTCAAAGCGCTTCTAAAATTACAACACATACTTTACATCTATAGACTAATTAAAATATCATATCTACCTATAAAACACTCTAGTGTCTCATATTGCAGTAGCAAACACGGTGCTCAAAAGTGAAGCCCTTTTCCCTCTACATTCTCTCTATCAGAAGTGTTTGGCTTGTGTTGGGTCCGACTTGGCCCGGGCGGTCAAAATCAATTTAAACACACAGACGTATCTTCAAATGTGTTTACATCTATAGATTGGTGTTATATCTACCTATATACTACTTTATAATGTCACGGCACATCGTATTTAAAGAAAACAAGGTGCTCAAAGTGAAGCTCTTCCCTTTACATTCTCAACATAGTCTCTATCAGAAGTGTTTGGCTTGTGTTGAGTCCGACTTGGCCCGGGCGGTCAAAATCAACTTTAAACACACAGACGTATCTTCAAATGTGTTTACATCTATAGATTTGTGTTATATCTACCTATATACTACTTTATAATGCTACGGTACATCGTATTTAAAGAAAACAAGGTGCTCAAAGTGAAGCATTTCTACTGTATTTTCTTAAGAAAATCTCTGTCAGAAGTGTTCGGTCCGACTTGGCCCGGGCTGTCTAAATCATCTTAAACCTCACAGATGTATCATCAAATGGATTCACATCTATAGATTAGTATTATATCCACCTAAATACCACTTTATAGTGTCTCAGATCGCTGTAATTAAAGAAAACAAGGTGCTCAAAGTGAAGCCCTTTTCCCTCTACATTCTCAACATAGTCTCTATCAGAAGTGTTTGGCTTGTGTTGGGTCCGACTTGGCCCGGGCGGTCAAAATCAACTTTAAACACACAGACGTATCTTCAAATGTGTTTACATCTATAGATTAGTGTTATATCTACCTATAAACTACTTTATAATGTCACGGTACATCGTATTTAAAGAAAACAAGGTGCTCAAAGTGAAGCTCTTCCCTTTACATTCTCAACATAGTCTCTATCAGAAGTGTTTGGCTTGTGTTGAGTCTGACTTGGTCCGGGCTGTCAAAATCAACTTTAAACACACAGACGTATCTTCAAATGTGTTTACATCTATATATTAGTATTATATCCACCTAAATACCACTTTATATAATGTCACAGTTTATCGCATTTAAAGAAAACAAGGTGCTCAAAGTGAAGCCCTTTTCCCTCTACATTCTCAACATAGTCTCTATCAGAAGTGTTTGGCTTGTGTTGAGTCCGACTTGGCCCGGGCTGTCAAAATCAACTTTAAACACACAGACGTATCTTCAAATGTGTTTACATCTTTGGATTAGTGTTATATCTACCTATATACCACTTTATAATGTCACGGTACATCGTATTTAAAGAAAACAAGGGGCTGAAAGTGAAGCATTTTTACTGTATTTTCTATGTCAGAAGTGTTCGGTCCGACTTGGCCCGGGCTGTCAAAATCAACTTTAAACACACAGATCTATCTTCAAATGTGTTTACATCTATAGATTAATGTTATATCTACCTATTAGTGGGGCGGTTAAGGCTAAAATTGTGCACTTTGGGTTAAAAGCACCAAACTTGGTACACTTATACAGTGAACCATTCCAAACATTTTTGGATATGGATCCACCTCAGCAAAGCCCCCTTGTGGTAGAAAATCCAAGATGGCCGCCAACATGGCTGAACTCTCTAATGATATCAATATATACTCAATATATCATACTTATCTGATCCATTTATACATATATCCATACTAATGCATGCGGAATGAATTGCAGCAGAGCTGTATATAATTCAAATATAGTTTGCAGCGCCCCCTGGTGGTAGAAAATCCAAGATAGCCGTCAGCATGGCTGAAATCTCTAATGATATCAATCTGTACTCAACACATCATAGTTATCTGGCCAATTCTTACAAATTATCATTGTAATGTATTTGGGAGTAATCACAATAATCCTGTATATAATTCAAATCTTGTATGCAGCGCCCCCTGGTGATGACGAAAATCCAAGATGGCCTCCAACATGTTTTAGTTTTCAGAAATTGTCTATTTCTACAGCAGATATAGATATCATTTGATATCTTTGGACTAAGGATAAGTTGATAAGTTTTGATATGATGAAACATTTTAATTGAAATTCTATTAATTAATATGTATTGTCTATGATCTATTCTCGGCATATTAATTTATAAATGGTCTGCTGAGAAAGGGGGGCGGTCGGGTAGCCTAGGCCTAGTGGTTAAAGCGTTCGCTCGTCACGCCGAAGACCCGGGTTCGATTCCCGACATGGGTACAATGTGTGTAGCCCATTTCTCGGTGTCCCCCGCCGTGATATTGCTGGAATATTGCTAAAAGCGGCGTAAAACCATACTCACTCACTCACTGAGAAAGGTTCCACCCAGTTTATATTAGATCACCCCAAAATCATTCATCTGGGAATGGATTCATATCTTAAAAACAAGAATGTATGTAAAGGTATCATTGACATTATTGCCATGAACCTATACATTAACTTACATCCTACTTAAGTAGGACCAGGAATATCGGTTCAATGTATGTGTTTACGGTTCTATAATTCACTTACAGTGAACTCTTTCCTTCAAAGTATCACATAGCACTGTACAGGCAGGCAGTGTAAAGTTTACAAAGGTTTGCAAGACTTCTTTGCAGGTGTAGTGTTAGTTTATAACACTTCTTTGTGCCTGACCAAGTGTTGTCCACTTGGGTATCTATATATTACTGCATGTCCTCTCCCAATCCCTGGCTACAAGA